CAAGGCCAGCTTGGACGCGGCTTGGAGCAAGCTGCTCTAGTGGAAGGTGTCCCTGCCCGTGGCAGGGGTTGGAGCTGGATGAGCTGCAAGGTCCTTCCAACCCAAACCAGTCTGGGATTCTGTAAGCTGGAGGGGACAGAGCGTATTCCCCCCACCCCGGAAGGTGTTTACTTAAGTGCTTGCTTAATTGTCCATGGTTCTCCCTCCGTCACCCACACCAGTGACTAGAAATCTGTATTAACTGGCGTAAATTACATGAGGTTAAAATTCCCTGGGTCAGGACTTTCATCCATGACACAACTGAGTTTTTACCTGTAAGATTTCCCGAGGAAAGCTGGGCACTGGCTCCATTTCCGCTCCTCTGCATCCCTAAGAACAGCCCCAGATTTATTGTCTGAGGAAGATGGAGACTCCAGTATTTCTTCTTGGCTAAGGAACTCCTTGTTCAGTGCATCAGCTTTGGCAAATCTTGTTTTCAATCATGTTATCTGCCTCCAGGTGCTGGAGATGGAGCCTGGGGGGTGACGGCCTGAACCCGGGGCTGTGGGTGCGCACATCACACACATAACCACGTTGCACTTGTTTGCCGACAGGATTGGGAATATGGGAAGTGGGCATTTTGGAAGGGGAGAAAACCTCCTGTCAACTTAATGTGTGTTTAAAAGCCCTCTCCTATTTTTCTCTGGCAACAGAAAATGTTGTCAAACAGTACAAGAACTATTTCCCAAGCACAGCCCACAGTGCAAACTGTGTTTTAGATTGCACCATGAGGTGCAACGTTTCCTGTGCAGACTGTGTCGCAGGTGTATGTGCAACAAGAAAGGAGTTGCATCATTTCTCCAGCTCTGCTTGTGCCCTGGGTTCATTTCAGAACCAGTTTTCCTTGTGAAGGTGGGATAGTTTGGGCACGGTGGTAACTGCAGAGCGTTACCTGTCCCACCAAAGCTACTGATGGGTGGGACGTGGCGCTTCAAGTCCAGCTAGTAGAAAAAACACATCCCTAATGTTTTTGTGTTAAGTGTCACATTCAACTATTACAATGAACAGCACTGCCAGGGGAGCAGAACCTTAGAAACAGCTAATAAATTATAGAGTGGAAATAACTCAGACTTTTTCAGTTGTTACTCAGCTGAATTTGACTGGGTGTGCTGTGGCCATGTCTAAAGATCGCACAGCAAGACGGGAAATGAGCTTGCTACCACCATTACATTTCCTTAGCCCATTCAGAAAACTGAAAATATTCTTAGAAATAGAAACTCCATTCTTTGTATACAAATCATATGATTCTATGTCATTAAAAACGTCATGCCTGATGACTTCACATGAAGAAGAGTCCTCTTAGCTTTATATGCCTCAATGGCAACTTTTTAGTGCAAAAAGGGACTCACTGTGCCAGTACTGAGCTTTTTTCCCCCATTATATTTTGTATCGGATTTCCAGAATGCAGTTTATTTACAATGAATACTGAGATCATAAGCCAGGATGAAACTAATAATTCCATTACCTTGCTCATTAGACTTGCAGACAGGAGCACAATCAAGGCACTGACTTTGGATCAAGACTTCAGTGTTTTCTAACCCTTATAGCTGCAGCAGGGTATTTTATCTATGTATATATACATAAAATTACAGCAGATGCAATAGGAATGCACAAATAAAAGCCACCCCCCTTGTTCCAGTCTTTCAAACTAAGCAAATACAGTATTCAAAATGGTTTGCATGTGACGTAGGGAAATGATCTATCACACAGCAAGTCACCTGGACTGTCACTGGAAGTCTCTGAGAGCATAACCAATTCTCTAGTGTTACTACAGGATAGAGGAAAACTGCTGGAAGCTTGAAGGTACATATTTACTATCTCACAAATGTGTTTATCCACAGGTATTTGCTACCTGGAGAGCCTGCTTTATTCAGAGCCCTCCCCAGGAAGACATTCCTTATGGTTAACAGCTTTGTAGCAACAGAGAGCACCAGGAGACAATGAGTACACTGGAATCGTAAAGAGCTTGCTGTGCAGCTCAAGAGAACACCAGCATTTCCCACATCCCATGCCACGCTGAATTCAAACATCAAACCCTCCTCTAGGCCCCTTTTGCCTTAGTTGTTTATATGCTGTACTCAGAAAACCAGACCTACCTTTGCAGCTCTGTCGATTCTCACGTGTTTATCCATTGCTGTCATTCACATCCCTTGGAGCACTGCAGACAACCACGGCAGGAAGGAGAGACTCTGCCTTTGCCCAGTCTCCATGTGTTAGAAGCTACGTCTCGAGAAAGCACATCTGCATTTAGGAATTTGTAGAAAAGATTCCTATGAAAGGCAATTTCTGTGGCAACAGCCAAGATTACAAGGGGCAGAGCACAAACCAGAAGAGCCCTGTTAGCATCTGCGAGAAAAAGAGCCTGTCTGCAAGTGGAATTTTCCTTGGTCTCACTGTCACCAACTTGTCGCAATTAACCGCAGTCAGAAGTCTCACCCTTTGGGTTTGCTGCATGTTCCTGTATTTCCTCTTTTAGAAATGGAATGAACACAAGAGTAATACGTACCACAAGGGCTGCGCAGTGCTCGATGGAAATAGGACTGCTACAGCGGTATCAGTTCAGGAGTTTGAAGCCAGCAGTTTTTATGCCTTTCAAAGACATTGATAAGGGTTTGTTTATAAAGGGGCTTTGGGAAAACCTTACATATTGCCATCCACTCCTGTGGTGAAGGCTGTGAAAGACTCCCCCTCAGCTGCACCAAGGCTCAAACACAAGGGAATGCATTTGATGCCTGGCCTACAGCATCCACTCTGAGAAGTTGTGCTGCACCAAGTTTGAAGGGTCCCTTACAGCCAGCCGAAGAACCTCCTAACCTGAGCTACAACCATTGTAACTACTTTTCCTTTACTGCACATCATTTTCCTGGGATTCAGTCTCATTGGCAGCTCTCCTGGAAAGCCAGGCTCTGTGTCCAGGAAATGAGAAGTATTCATCCAAGCCCAGAACCCCATCTTCAGTATAAAGTTTGAAATCTGTTTAAAAGGGTGCAAATTAGCCTAATTCCAGAAGGAACCCTATAGGAAAGACTTTCCCTAGAGCTGGGTGCCAATCAGTGCCAAGTCAGTGTGCTGAGGGATGCTGAAAACTGAGATACAAATCCAGAGTTAGTTGTCTCCAAAGCTGCTTTCACGTCCACGTCTCTCTGGACAAACGCATTAGCTGTGGCATCATCTCACCACGCTTCCATGACAGCTTCTTTCGAGAAGAAGCAAGAGTAGGTTACACACCAGACACAACAGATCTTTAGACAGGTGATGGAGGCTTTCTTGAGGAGGTGGTAAATCTCGAGTACAACAGCGCTGCTCTGAGATGTAGCTACTGAGAGGCACTGACTGCAAAACTCATGAAGGGCAAGTGGCTGCACTGGAGTTTCAGTTGATGAATACAGCTTCTCTGTGTGAAGCTTCTCTGACAGTAGCAATAAGTATGCTCACATAAAGAATGTTTATTGAGATACTTGCAGACTTGCACAGCAGAAGGATGTATTCCCTCCAAGCAAATGCAAATCAAACAGGGTGACTACGTGTGCACACAACCTTGTTCTCCACAAGGCAGCTGCAGCTCCTCTTCACTTACACCATTGCTTGCTCCCAGTGCTGTAGAGCAGCCTGCCCCCCCCCCCCCCCACCTTCACACCACCACTAGGATGCTGTTGCACTAAACCATTTCACTCCAGGTTTGCATTATCTACCCAAACAGCATGAGTTTAAAGTTTCTTCCAGCCCTTATTTCTTAAACAGAAAACCCAAAATTTCTGACCTCAAGCAAGATGAAAAGTAAGAAAGGTGCCAGTTGCAGGGTGTTCTTGTGCTGAATGAACAGAACTATTCCTACATTTTACAACTACATTTCTATATTCTATAACTACTATTTTAAATGTCTTTAAAATAGAAAGAGTCCAAACACCAATAATAAATATGTTACTTAAGGCCTCTTTAATGGAACTGACACGAATGCAGCACTGCCCTCAACACTGCCAGTGCTATCAGCTTAGCAGGCAGGCTGCAAGAGGAGGGTGGCTGCCGCTGAGTGAGTACAGAGGCACTCTCCTTGTTTCTCCATGAAAAGAGCCACCAGAACTGCTATCTCATGATGGCATTGCTGAGCCTAAGGAACGCTTCCAGAGCAGCAGCTTTTAAGAGAAAAAAAAAGCATTCTTTTAAAAAACAATCCCACACACTGCAAATGTGCAGTTGAAACACAAATGAATTCATCAAGCTTCAGCATGTCCCCAAGACACAGCTTTCCACTGTTAATTTTCTTCATTATATAGAAAACCAATACATTTCCTTCGTATGTTAGTAACTTTTTAAAAGGTAATTTTTATTTAAATACAGACAAAACCTGTACCCTCATCAGCCCCTGATGAGCATCAGTGGGAATGGGGAGTTAATCCAGCAGGAAGAATAATCTTATATTTAAAAATCCTCATGAAGGCAAGTGCTGAGCTTTTGACTAGAGGAAGCCTCCCAAATATGAAGCCTGAAAGCACTGTGCAAAGATGCATCAATCAATATGTTTAAAGCTTTGCACAGGCAACTCTCTGTAAAAAGAGTAGTGAATTTTCAAGCTTACAGAAGGTTTAAGCACAGTTCCTTAATGACCTGTACTCCAGCTGAATGGGATGAGGTCTGGGACACCTGAACTACGGCGGTAACAAGGAGAAGAAACACTGATTCTGGGTTTCTGAATAATGAAGAAAAAATGTTATTCAAGTGCTGTGTAGCAGAATGAAAATTACTCAATAAAATGAAGTAAAATGACATTTCTGAGGTACACGTACAAAAATTAATATGCACAACAGCTTCTTGGATAGGATACTAGAGGTCTTGACGGCAAAATTATTCTCATTTTCACATGCCACAGCACATTTTACATTTGCAATGTGGGTATTTCTTGGAAATACCATGAATTCATTTCAAGATCCCACTTGTCAAGATAAATTCAAAACAAGACCCGATTTTAAGTCTGAGCGTTAATACCAGAACTAGAACACCATTTCTGGAATTCATCTGAACAGTTTAAGATCCTGTTCCAAGTTCTTATGGCACAAAACTGGCTCAGAACTGAAGGGACACTTGGAAAATAACTGAAAAGAAAAAAAAAAATACACCAAAACCCCCCTCAGACAAAAAATACAAAACAGTTTTACAAAGAATGATCAGAACTGAAGGCAGCTTAAGGCTTCATTAAGTATTTGCCAAGTTCTGCTGTTACTTGCGTAATCCATTCTTTAAACAGACTTCAGTGGAATTGCACAGATACAATGCAGAGCAAAACTGGCTCACACTGCCCAGTTTGAGCAAGATACAGTCACATTATTGTTATGTGGGATTTAGAAAGACAGGAAAACAAGTTTAATCCTTTCTGCAAGGATCATTTTAGTCTTTGCCCCCCTCCTTCCCCTCTCCACTCCTTGAGTACAATTGGAGATGACTGAAAAAAATTGATGCCACACACACTAATAAAAAAAATTAGCATGGTGCAAAACTTAGTATTTTTATATTGTTTCTGCCACACTTGACAGAATGAAAGACCAGACACAGCACAGCTTTCTTGTAGGTATCTGTCGGCAGTACAATCAATTCAAGATGATAGAATCAATCTGGAGCATCACTGTCTTACAAAGAAGTTCTTAGTCTGTCGTCGACCTTCTGTACCAGAATCTAGCCCTGTAGTCATCACTGCAGGTCATGAAGCCAGGATTTGTAGGAGAATGGACAATGCAACGGACAATGCTGTTGTGCCCCAGAGAAAGAAGATTTCTCCTTTCAGCAGTTCTTGAGTCCCAGCAGCAGAGACTTATGGTCCTTTCATCCGGAAGCAGCACATAATCTTCTGTGTGGTTGAAGACAGCTTGTGTCCTGTGTACTTGTCGTCCACTCAAACCAGCTCCTAAACACATGCAGCAAAACATTAACACAGATAGGATCAGTTTTCGGAAGTTTCCAAAGACCTAAGAACAAACCTCCCATAAGCATCAATGTCTGCAGTCTATAAAGGAGCCTTATTTTCTCAGTCTACTGCTTCCACATACAACAGGTGAGTTAATAAGGAACAGTTAATAAACATAGTACATTCTAAAACTTCTTAAAGGACAGAAAGATTAACTACTCCAACTGTGTCAGTCAAGTCCAGCCACTCACTGTGAGTGCAGTCACTTAACTTGAAAAGCACTTTTGCCTTATATATTTTGTATTAGGCTTACAGCTGTAACTAAGGCAAAATAACAGTCAAACACATAGATTCTCAATACCAAGGACAACTTTCGGTTTTAATCTACATATCATACAGCACTATATAAGCTAACTTGGCCATACTTCCCCTCCAAACCCTTCAAATAAAACATGTAGTTTCCTATATAGGCATTTACTCTGCAATGCACACACCTGCATCCTACCTAGTATGTTGCCAAAGTTTATCAAGGAGGTGCTGCACTCTGCTGGTTGAGAGCAGACAGAGCTAGCATACAGAAAAGGACCATACACACCCCAAAAGCAACATCCTCTCGTCTTTTATGCTATGACTTATAATGCTTAAGCACATTAGTGCTTGACTCAAAAGCTTCCCTGTCACTTAGCTGCTACTGTATGCAAAGCTTCTGCATCCTTCACCATTTAAGTCCTGCAGAGATCAAAGCATGGTATTGCTAGAATGATCCGAGTAGGACCACCTTGTGTCAATGGAAAGGAAACCAACCAGCTGTAGCTATTACAGAATATTGCCACAACTTACCAGAGCCATCTTTCACACACAAGTCTAAACTGCCACAAAGTAGGTTCAATTACCCCTGTCTGAGTGGGTGCTCTGAGGGAACGTGGCCTACTCTAGCCAGAAAAATGGATTAAGTGTTGGTTTTGACCCTTCCAGTTTAAACTGTGTCCCTACTCTAGCCGGAAAAGTGATGATGTATTTTTGTTTTAATAATCATTGTTTCTAAACTCTATCCACAAGTGGTCCTCAGGGCAGCGCTCCTTCTTACTTCCCCCTAATTTAGTCACAACTTCGCTCCAAAGCAATGGAGTAACTGTGTCAGAAAAGCCTCCAAAATGCACTCACACTAAATATTTACACTGACATACAGGAATCACAGTTTCTCTTCTGGAATTAGTCTATTTAAATGTTTTCAAAAGTTTGGGGCAATTTAACCTCAAAGCAGCAGTCTCCCAGTGTCTTTTAAGAACTCCTGTTCTTCTGACAATATTACCACCACTGCTGTGGTTCAGTACCTGAAAGGGAAGGTACTTGGAAGGCCACATACCTGTATATTTGACCAGTGTTCGACCAGTGGATATCTCCCATAGTTTAGCTACAGAGTCTTTTCCACTTGACAAGATATACTTTGAGTTTTTGGAAAAAATAGCAGAACAGACTTCAGCTCCATCATGTGCCTTCTCAAAAGTAGTGATGCAGCGATTTGAAACACCATCCCACAGTTTGATGCATCCATCCTTACTTCCTGTCACATACATGTTTGCACTGGTGTTGTAATTTACTGAACATATGGCATCAGTGTGCTGATCTTGAGGATTGCAAGACACAAAACACTGGAAAGTATTGATATCGTACAGTCGTAAAGTAGGGTGCTGAGTACCAACAAGTATGAAATCTCCAGAAGGGTGAAAAGAAATTGAGCGCAACATCTCTGCCTCCTGTTTGATCAAAAATACATAATTGGTGTAAGAAAAAAGTCTGAAATGGAAGCGTCAATTCTGGTGGCATTAAAGTGCTAAAAACCTGGTTAAATTATCAGTTATCACAATGTGTTCTGCTTTTTTAAAATAGAAAATGCTTCCCATAGGATTAAAATGACAGGCTGCCTTATTTTTTGTCCTGAAGCAGCTTGCAATGCCTTCTCATTTTTGGGATATTGCACAAGAGTGACAGGACATTCCATCAGCCAGTCACAAACCCCAAAGCCCACCACCATATAATCCCAAACTCCTCCAAAAGGAATAAAATATAATTGACGTCACAGTTACCCAGATCAGATCTAATCTAAATTAAAAAAAAGCAGACAGGCACTAGATCTTAGGAATGTAGGTATCCATTATGCATGAACTCTTAACTTGTAATTACCATAATGTCTTCACATTTTGTATGTGCATACTCCTACAAACCTAAGCACTTATAAACCCAGACACAATTCAGGTTACTGATACCTCAGGTACATATACATTCAAGCTTTGGTTGCTCTGAACTGGTATCATATCTAACCTGTATGTATTTGAAGGCTCTTTTGGCAGAGGGTTTTGAATAATCAAATAATTTAAGTGTGTAGTCCCTTGAACCAGATGCTAGGATCTGTTCTGTTGGATGAAAAGCTAAGCATGTAACTTCATCCACATGATCATACAGAGTTCGAATAACAGGATGGTTTTCCATGTTTTGCTGTGCCGTCTCATTCATCATGACCTACAAAGAACATTGAAAAAGTCAGTGTTAGAAAGCAGGCATGCTTTTTAACAGAAAAAGTAGGTTTTATGCTTGCCAGAGCAGCTAAACAACTACATTTCTGACACATGCCTAGGCACATATCACCATTATCTCAGTTATTTGAAGGCTCATCAGATACTGTTATCATATAAGATCCCTGTATCTTCACAAAGGTCAACTGACTTGCTCAAGGACATGCTAGTTTCAGCAGCAGAGAATGGGTGCAAGAAAACATACCACTGTCATAAGTAGTCCAAACCAGAATACTCTATTGCTGTAAGAATTAAGGGCCACTGTAGCAACCAGGAAAACCGTAACTTCTACTCACAGGATACTGCTGAAAATTTGCAAACTACCCGAACTCACCCACTTCCTAACTGCTACCTAGTAACCACACTGGAGGAAAAAAATGATACAAACAAACATGTATTATGTGAAACAGTTCTGAAACACAGCCACTAGAGGCCAAAGGCGTAAGTGGGCTCAACAATGAACTGCGTTCATACAGTGTAGCAATTATCAGCTACAATAATCATCTATTAGAAGCAATTTCTGGCTCAATTCTTAGGACTGCTGCCAGGAGTTACACAGGTATACTTGCCCTATTTCTTCTTCCTTCTCCTCAAGGGTACTTTATAGAGCCGCCGTTGGAGTAGGAAATATGGCGAGACAGAACCCACTGAGCCAGCCACATGGCACAGACACAGCATGGAACAGACAGCATCTCAAGAATTCACACAGTGGTTATGATTCAAGTCATATTTTACCTCAATAGGCATAGCACTTTTGGCCAACATTCTCTCTGTGTCAAGAATTTTTATTGAGGCATCAGCAGATCCTGTAGCTATTAACTGTCCATCTCTGCTATATGTAGCTACACGACACGGCCCTTTGTGAGATGTCACATAACAAGTCTCATATTCAGAAGCCTCGGGAGACATGGTCTGTACATCTGCATCAAATTCCAAATCAATTCCTGTGCCTGGAGCTACCGTATCTGACCGTCCAATTGCATACTGAACAGCACTGTCATCGTTCTCCATTCCTGGAAGAGAGAAGTTGATGCACTTAAAACAGGTTAACCTTCTCCTTAGACAGATCCGTTCCTATGCTATAGGCTTTGGTAACAGCTACAAGTCAGGTTTTGAGAGGCAGCTCCTGGTGAACAAGGCTAAACTAGCAGAACAGATTTAGTGACACAGCAGTACTTCTCATGAGAAGTGAGAAGTAATTTGGCTACTCTACAGCAGAACACAGTTCCCAAAATTAACTGTGAAAATACAACCATCAAACACTGTAGAAAGATAGTATGACAAATGTACTGACAATCAAGTCTGTGAAGCCACTAGCAGCTTTTCACAGAGGAAGAAAGAAGCTCCAGCACTGTTACATGAGATTTAAAATAAAAGACTGAAGCATTTATCAATTCTTCTTTCTTTCACTGCACTGCAGGAAAAACCCCTCTACTCCAACAATAATTAGTGCAGCATTGCAAACAGAAATATTTACTCCTCTTTGCACCCACCCTATAGATTTTTATTTATTTCCAGAATGCATCTACGAAGACAGTTCAGCACTGGAAGTGGTAACAGAGCAGACACAAGAATTTCCAGCTATGTGCCCAACTTTGATCATCGATCCATCAAATGCAAATTTTTCTTGCTTTCATGTACAAATTGCAAGTCTAGCATTCTTATTTCAGAGACAGGGCTTAACTTATTTATACCCTTGGAAGTTAACTAGTTCAGGTAGCAGAACCAGTTACAATACAATGATGGTACGGCTAGACCTCTTCAAGTATCTGAAGTCAGCTTGTTTCAACAGCAGCTCTGGTGTTGTGACTACATACTGTGGCACAGACATACTTTCAGAGAAAAATGCACAGATAGAACAGGTAATACCTTTTCTAAGAACCTTGATTGCGAAGCTAATTTTCTTGAGACTGATATACCAAGGCTAGCAAAGCCTGCCAATGGAAGGGCTTGCTCCCTTTCCAGCACTGTCAGGAAGAATCACATAGAAAATATCTCTAAAGTTGGCACAGAACTGGGTGGGTCTGGCACAAAACTGTTAGGTCTGTGGACGCAGTGATCCTGTTTAATGGAATGTGCTTTTAGAAGGTTGCCAGTCATCCAAGACCTTGAGCAAGTATTCTTATGTGTTACAGAAGTGCAAACAAAAGGATTTTGTCTATGTGATGTTTTGTTTTTAATGCATACTAAACAATGAAACACAGAGCTAGAATGCCCTTCAAAAAAGCCACAGAGGCAAAGGCTTTATCTAAGTATGTGAAGCGTTATGCTATTACTAGACATAACCATTGCATAAAAGACATTGTCAGTAACTCTAACCTCTTAATTCACAAGGATTTAAACTAGAGATTTAGAAACTAGACTTTTATGTTAGCTTTTTATTGCAGCTTACCTAACTTAATTAGGTGCAGCAGTTGTTCAGATGGTGCACAGACTGATTGTGGTTTTATCTCATTTATCAAGCCATTGGCAATATTTATGTATCCATCATAAAGCAGCTGACTAATTATCAGTTTATAAAGTTGCTGACGGTCTTTCAAACTGACTTTTGTTCTATACATTGTGAGCAAGGAATGCCTTGGAGGGGCCTGAAATAAATAAAGAAGAAAAAATACATACAAGAGAGTCTCATGGAAAAAGCACAACCTTCAAATAAAGCATATCCTGCCCAATTTCAGTGCAGACACCTTTATTTTAAGTAAGAATCAGAAATATTAAACTGAAAGGAAAAAAAAAAGCAAGGAAAAACCTGTTGCACTTGGCTGCTGTAGAAATTAAAACCTCACCAATAAACAGAGCACGAACTGTATATTAAGGAGCAATGGAGAAGACAGAAATAATACGGCATTAGCTAGCAGAATGATTCTGTCAAGGCCTTTCACTGAGCCCCGCCAGAAGGCGGCCCCGGGCACTGGGGAGAGGATCGACCCAAACCATGCAGGGCAGCCCCACACTGGCACCCTCCCGCCTCCCCCCCCTCTCTCTCACCCCGCGACACCGCATCCTCCCCACCGCCCGCAAACCCTCTCACAGCCCCGGGCTGCACCGCCGTAACCGGCTCCGGGACCAATAACCGGGCAGCGAGGGGGCGTGGGGGGCAAAGGGGCTGAATGAGGGCGGGGAGTGCTCAGCTGGAGCGCTGCGGCCACAGTACGCGGGCTTCCAGAGCCCGGGGAGGGGCGGGCAGCTTCGGGCGGGAGCTGCCGAGGGCGAGGCCCGGCCCGGGCAGCGGAGCCGAAGGCGGAGGACAGCGCGGCGCGGCCCCGGTACCTACCGACCCTTCCTTCTGCCTCCCTCGCTCTCCCCCTAAAATGGCGACCGGAGCCCTGAGCGCATCGATGGGCGGCGGCGGCAAGGGAGGAGGCGGCGGCGGCGGCCGGGACCGAAGAATGCTCCTCCGCGAAGGCTGCTGCATCGAGCGCCCGCAGATCGATTGGAGGCGACTCTTGAAGGGAGAGAATCGCAATATCACATGACCGTGACACCACGCAAGGGCCCTGGCAGGTCCCGGTGTCACGTGACCTGTGACGCGCCGAGGAAGCCCCCGGGCGGCGCGGAGGGGCGGGGCGGCAGCGGCCGCGCCCGGGGTCCCAAACCACGTCCCCTTCCCGTTCCCCTTCCGGGGAGGTCGGGGCCTTGGCCCGAGCCGGCACAGCCGCGCTCAGGGCGGGACGGAAGCGGCAGGCCCCGGGCTGACCCAGGAATCCGACTCGCAGCAGGAGGGCGATTGCTGGGGGGAGGCGGGGAGCCGGGTGCTTTTGTGTCCCAGCCGTAAAGCTCCGAAACGCTGCTTCCGCTGAGACACCGCGATCCCAAACACGGGGACGTGAGCGGGCTGTGAAACAGCAAGTGCTGACACTGCTGCACCGCGCTGCAGGCCGCCCCGCACCTGGGCTACGCGGCCGCAAGCACCTCCCGCTGCCGGACCGCTCAGACCCCGGCAGGCCGAGCCCGCCCCAAGAGCACGCCCCCCCTCCGAAAAGTCCTACTCACGTCAGCCTCGAGAAACGGCAGTCGAAGCGGGCGCGGGTCAAGGAGGGGGGATGCCATGCTACCCATGCCCCGTGGCAGCTGACGTCTATCACATGCTGCAGCGACACGGCGACCCGACATCTTCTTTTTACCTATCCTGTACCACTTGTGAACACCAACACACACAACTGGTTCGCCTCCGCGCTTGTTTTCAACACCGCAGAGACAGTTAAAAGTTGCCTTCGATCACGGTTCTTTAGAGGCCCGAAGTACTGAACCTAGCTTCAGCTGCCGCTTGTCACTCGGCAGCCAAGGTCCCCCTCACAGACGTGAGCAGGACCACAGGGGCAGCTGAGACAGCACAGCAGCCTCACACTCCTGTTATGCTGCTGCTTGCAAACTGCACTCGCTGATTGTCCACTGCCGCTCGGCGTCTCCTCGAGAACCCGTGCGGTTTTGGGCACTGCCACGGGCTGCGGGTCACCGCTGCTGTGACACGAGGGGTCCGCGGACCGGTGGAGCCACCTCAGGACAGGCGTCCCCTGTCGCGCTGTGCTGCGCCGAGGCAGGGGAACCCTTCGCACTTGTCCTCAAGAACTAGCGGCACGTGGGTGCTGCCCTGGGCCGCACGTCCCAGCAAGCGCGAGGCTGAGGCCTGCTTCACCCCTCTGCCCGTCCTCCCGCCCCTCGGGGCTGCGAGCTGCCACCGGGGCACCTACCTCACCGGCTGCACACAATGGCCCCTGGCCCCACTCGCGCTCGGCTCCACGCGAGGTGGCAGCACCGCCTCTCCCTCGGCCCGTGCCAGCGGGTAGTGTGTGCTGAAGGAGAGGAAAACGGCTGGTGCCTCGCGGGATGCGGGACGAACCTGGCGCCCTTCCCCCCGCGGCGGCGGCAGACTCCGAGGCCTCGGTGGCTGCGAGGAGGGGACGGTAGTTGTAGCGTTGCCACAGGTGGGTGGTCTGGGCGTACGCGATTTGCGTAGTGGAAGACCCGAGCAGGCAGAGACTTGGCGGAGCAAAGTGTGCGAGCGGCGCCGGTCCACGCAGTTGGAGTACGGAAGGAGCCAACGGCGGAGAGACGGTACGTAAAATACGCATGTAGCGCAAACACCGCCCTCGGGGCGGGCGGGGCGGGCCAGCGCCGGGTACGCAGCAGGCTGCCGTTACGCATGCGCCCCAGAGGCTCACGGCGGCCACGCTCGGCCTCGCAACGAGCGGAGCGTGTAGAGAGCCAATGGGCCTGCGGGTCGGTTGAAAAGCAGCCAATCAGCGGGCGCGAGCAGCGGAAGAAGGGCCAATGGTGAGAGGCGGTGGTTTAAAGGGTATTTAAGGGAGGGCGGTTTGAATTTAAACAGTTGTGGCGGCCGGAGGCAGCGGAGCTTGGGGGTGAGCGGCCGCCGGGGTTCCGTGCTGCGTGGGCCCTGGGCACCGTGGGCGCTGGATGGGAGAGTTTTGGCCGGCGGGAGGCTGCGAGCGCAGTTTGGCGGTGGTGTATAGCTAGGGTACAGCTAGGTCCTGGGGATTCCCGGCGCTCGCGTACGGGTGGCTGTGGTGTATAGGTGGTGTATAGCTAGGTCTTGGGGCCTCCCGGCGCTCGAGTATGGGGAAGGGAGACCCGAGGCGTGGTGTTTTCTGTGGAGCTGACTCTGTTTGCCACGTCCTGTCTGTAGGCTAAGCTCTAGGTAGTTGCTGTTTTCGGGCGCTATGGACAAGAATACAAAGGAGAACCGCTCTGGGTACCACAGCCGTACTGTAAAGGTAAATGACTTGTTAGGTTGGTGGGTGCGTTTATCCTTATAACGCATGAGCTACAGGTTCCAAACTGTAGTAATTATCAGCTGTACTAAGCAGCAAAAATGGGAAAAGCTGTCTTGAAAAGGTAGCTTCTATGCACAGGAAATAATTGCCAAAATTGTTAAAGCTAATCATTAGCATTTGAACTTCACTGTAGCCAAAGTATTCTAGAACAGCTAGGTTCCTCAGAGAATGGGGCAGTTCGAATCGCTGTCCCATCCCTGGCAGTGTTCAAGGCCAGGTTGGTTGGGGCTTGGAGCAGCCTGGTCTAGTAGAAGGTGCCCCTGTCTGTGGTAGGGGGTTGGAACTGAGTGAGCTTTAAGGTCCCCTCCAACCCAAACCCTGTTTTGAACGAAGAATTTTCTTAAGCATAAACCCAAACTACTTTCCCTTATTGGAAATAAAATGTTAAGGTTCAGCTATCTACTTTTACTGAGTAAATTTGCTTTGTTCTGTGGAACGCCTGTTGCAGTGCAATGTATGTTAAGATGACCAGCGTTAAAGGAAGCAATGACTCAAAGCAGTGTATGCTTTTATAGTAAGGATCTGCTGTCTCAATACCTTTGGCTGATGTGCTGGAGAAGTGTATGGAAAAGTTCTGCTAGCTATAAGTATGTTTGCTGTTGTAGAAAACTTAACTTTCTTGTCAGTGTAGAAATTTAAGAATGCTTTTAATCATAAGCGAGATCAGACTACACTAACTTTTCCTGTTCATGTACTTTGTGGTGTTCTCCTGTTTTATGAATGTGGCCATAAAGGTTGTGCTACGCTATTCTACAAGTAATACACAATCTTTTCTTTTTGAAGGTTGCTAATCCCTTTGGGGATGGCCCAAAGCGTGTCCCTGTGTCTCATCATTCCGCCCAGAGTCAGTTACTAAACAGCGGAGCTCAAGCACAACGTGTTCTTTGCTCTTCAAACTTTGCCCAGCGAGTTCCAGTACAGACACAAAAGCCTATATCGTCAAACCAAAAACTGTCTAATCACCAGACAACACAGCAGCCCCAACCAAAATTACCGGTCCAAGCGACTGCTAGGCCTCAAGTCCCAAGCAAAAACAATGAAAAATCTCAACAGACTTCAGCACCTGGTAATTCTGAAGAAGGTGTATACACGTTTGTACAGTTATGATACTTGGGATACTTATGTTCTAAGAAGCAGAGTGCAGAAAAAGCTAATGTTGATTATGTGGAGAGATGGCCTTAGAGAGAAGTACTTGGTTGTGCCCCAAAACAGAATAGCAGCACAACTTCAGCTTAGAAGTTACTGCATTCTCCTTGTTGCCAGAGTTACCCATGTAGGTCCAATATGGGTGTTTAAGAATTCGCAGATGCTCATTTGTCTGTGAATTAATGTAAGTGGTACTCGTACATCAGTTATTCCAGTATTCATGTTAATCTTTTGTATATAAAATATTGTAAGAAAGCTTTTAAAATTATATGTTTGTCTCTGGTAACTTCTATGCTGCTTTGCTAGTAGTAAGTTGTTGAAATTGCCAGTGAATGTATTTAAAGAACTGCTTGAGATACTGCACAGAGGCTAGATTTGCTTCCATGTGAATTTTTGTCTTGTGGTTCTGGGTCTGTTTCTTAAAACTGATCTATTTCTCTATACGTAGCAAAAAGTTCTGAAGCAGAAAGCACCTCTAAACAGAAAAAGGAAGAGACTAAAAAGTAAGTTTTATATCTAAATTGTTTTAAGCTAACTGAGCCCTGTTGGGTCGGCTTGGTTTTGTCCTTTAGGACTTCATGCTGTAACTTAGTTGCAGCTAAGCTGAAAGTTACTTGAGCCTCTTTGTTGTGGAGAGCTGTGGCCCTACACTTACTTCATAGAGACAGCAGATGAAACTAGGAAAGCTTACTTTGACCTGGTAATTCTCAGGAGCAAGAACTTCCTGTAACCTAAAGAGAACTTTTGGCTAAATGCATAATAGCTCTTCCCATGAGAGAACACTGATAGCCACTGCTGCAATCACAAGATGCACACTTGAAAACAAAGGCTCTGTCATATGTGCAACAGGCTGGAGTTCAAGGGTGAAGTTAGACCTGTAGTATGGCTATCTTAAATAGCTCTGAAATGCTCTAGTGATAGGTCTCTATTAAGTGTATTGAAGTGAGCCTAGCTTGGTATTTTGTAGTAGTGTGGTTGACATTAGTGTGTCTGTGTGTAAACTTTAGGAAGGAAGAGACAAGCTTTCAGAACTTTTTTTTGAAAAGTCTCAAGGCATATTTTATTCTCTTGGTGGTGTAAAGACTAAATTCTAGTTCAGATCACTAAGTATTGAACAGGAACACTATAGACTGTAAACCTAGGAGTCAAAGCCCACACAGGTATCTAGGTTTTGTAACTTGTTCTTTCCTCTTACAGAAGGCAATGGTCTCTTGATGATTTTGAAATTGGTCGTCCTCTGGGGAAAGGAAAATTTGGAAATGTGTACCTGGCACGTGAGAAGCGGAGTAAATTTATTCTGGCACTGAAAGTGCTCTTTAAGTCACAGCTTGAGGAGGCTGGTGTAGAACATCAGCTACGAAGAGAAGTTGAAATACAGTCTCATCTTAGGTAAAATTTCATGACCAGTTACACTCTTTGTGTTCAAATAAATAAAATAACCTCGTTTATGACAGTGTAACCTACTGAAGAAGAGAAGTTTCTTTTTAAGTGTGTGACACCTTGAAATTGCTAGTTAGAATTCTTGCTTTTCTGCAAGGAGATTTGTCTTTGTCTACCTTGCAATGAAGCAACCTTTGGTAAGAACTTCCTGCTGCTTGGATTTATGTGGGTAACAGCTTTTTCTCAAAGTCTGAGTTTGTTTCTGGCATTTTGCTTCTCAGAAAATAAGCCCACAAGGTGCTAAATTCCAAAACCCATAAGAATTGGTACCTTCGGTGGTCATTACTCTTCCACTTGCTGTAGAAGGGTATGGACAAGAAGATCTGAACTGGCTAAACTTTTGGTTAGCTGCTTGCTAGCAGGGAATCTAAACTGCTGCTTAGATAAACACCATCTATCTGCTATGAAGCTCTCAATTGGTATGTTGTGAGCTGAAGGCACACTTACAAGATTACATTGAAAGGGGGGAGGCAGGAAAGGGAAATTAAAGTTATATGGACAAATATACCTGTTCAGAAAAACATTTAAATGTTTTTTTTGCAGGCACCCCAATATCCTCAGATTATATGGCTACTTCCATGATGTTACGAGGGTCTACCTTATCCTAGAGTATGCACCACGTGGAGAAGTCTACAAAGAACTTCAGAAGCTCACCAAGTTTGATGAGCAAAGAACTGCTACTGTAGGTTGTTCTAGCTTCTGTGTTACTTGCTCTTCGTATTTGGAATATTTGCAGCATAAAGCTAGATCTTCAGATAAAGCTCTGTGTTTTCGTGTGAAACTGTGATTCCTTAGATGCTAGTTGATGTACTTGCAACAAGAAAGAAAGAAATTGAGAAGATGTTGCTGCACAGCACTGATACGATATTCAGCACTGCTGAGGATAGTTGTTAGTGCTTGGTCATATCAGACAGAGCCTGTATTGTCAGACTTCCAAGGGTTTGAGGAATAATTGCTGTAACTTTTAATTAGGCCTAGAAAAGGCTATAATATAGCCAGATAAGCTAGAGTGACAATGAATTTAAAGTTTTGTTCTTTCTTAATACAGTACATCACGGAACTAGCAGATGCTCTATCATATTGTCATTCAAAGAACGTGATTCATCGAGACATCAAGCCAGAAAACTTGCTGCTTGGCTCAAATGGAGAACTAAAAATTGCTGACTTTGGATGGTCTGTGCATGCTCCATCTTCTAGGTGAGAAGGTAGTACATACCTTGTGCAGTGAAAGACTTCTGTAATGAAAATGTTACTTTCTGTCACTCTTACAGTTGTGGAATGGAAGTAAATGTTGACTTCCTAAAATAGGGGGAAAAAATCCTTTAAGAACTCGGCCACTGCAGCAACTTGTGTATTTGAAAACTTGCTGAACCTGGAAGTGAAGAAGGTTGGTGTACTGTTGTTAGGGTTATAGCAGTCCCTCAGATCACAGACC